CATTTACATTCGTTTTGTGTTTGAATACAGTGGAAAAATTGATACGTAAAACAATTAGCTATGGTTGAATAGTGAGACAACTAACATCATTATTTGTTTGATAAAGGAATGGAACACAATGAATCTGTTGGATAGTGTAGACAAATAATACTGTAAATGTAAATGATCTTTCATTCAGTCAAACGTATTATCTGTCTTCTTTATCTTTGAAAATAGTTAGAGCAAAATGATAATGATTTTCAAAAAAAAAAAAATGATAATCCACAAGGTAACGCTCGTTTGCACTCGTGCGGTCCCTTGACTTTAGGAACTTATATCTAAGAACGACCTTTCATGATTTTAAATCGAAGATAAAACTCACACCTCCTTCGGTTGGTGTTCGCTAGGGGACTACGCAAAATATATCATGAATTTTTCTTGGATTTGGTATGTAAACTTCGTAATCTAATGTAAATCTAAACGGTTTTCTCGAGATCCTCCAAAGATCCCCCCCCCAGAGGTGTAAAAATATCTCTAAATTGAAGACAATACTCACTTCTCCCTTCGGTCAGCGTTCGCACCCTATACTAAAGTCAAGGGAATAAATTCTCAAGCCAGAAGCCTAAAAAGAGTGCCGTTACTTGGGTACTTCCATTTATGTCCGCCCATCGTTACATGACATAATAGCCGAAAAACTTTCAAGACTCTTGTGTAGAGCATAAAAAGTTGCATAGAATCCCATATTTGTTCTATTGGTCGAATTCAATTAAAATAAGCATTTTGAGAAAAATCTTCTCTACAATTCGTTTTTGTAAAAAAAAAAAATAATAATCCATAAGAATACACAGTGATGCAATGAAAAATCGACTTTTATCCGGGATGAAAAATAAAATTTCTCATAGTGTACAAATTTTGTTGTTTTGAACTTTTTTCTCAAAAAGACATAAGACGCGTTTATATTTTCCTTTGTATTTTTTTGTGGATGCCTCAAAAAGAGAACCTTTGAGTGTAACTGTGTACATACTACCAGTATGATGATACATATGAATTAAATGAATTTTTATTATTTCCTTTTTTTCGTTACTATAGGCGTGCATTTCTATTCATTAAAATAGTTTTGCATCACAAATCTTTGAACTGTAAACATAATTCATAAATAAACGTCTATGACACACTGTTTTGTACCATGCAGCTTAACAATCTAAAACACACACACTATTTTTATAAGTAAGAGAGAAAGAGTTAGAAAACCTCCTTGTAAATACATAGTCAAGAAAAGAATGTCTATTTATCTTAATACATTAATTTTTGAGTCTATACTCTATTGTTAACAATTTCTATCAGATATGATCAATAATTTACAGTTACTAACAGTGTAAAAATAAAGATTGAAACAACTCACCTCAAAATTTATTTTGTTATTTTTTTGTGTATTATTGTCGCAGATATCGGTGTTTTTCTAAGGCTTTAACCTGATGAACGAAGTCTTATATATTCTGTAGAAAACATATCTTCAAAGCTTTTGACCTGGATTACTTACATAATGAAAATTCTTGTCTCTTTATAATAAAACTAGAAGAAAAAAAAAAATCAATTCGTCTTTCAATCATAAGACGACAAAACAGAAAAAACAAAAAAAAATGAAAATTGAACATTATTATAGGAAAGAAGAAACATCAGTCAAACAAATGGCGTTCATTTTTTTGGGCTCTATATGATACGTTAAGCAAAGATAGATCTATCGTAGTAAAATTCATTATGTATAAAAAAAATAAGAAAAGAAATGTTGTTGTATTTCATTCTCTCTGTTTCATTTGTCACAATAGTAGATAGAATATCAACCATTGCATTTTTTTTTTTATTTAACATTTTTACAACTAGAAGTTATGCATCTAGCTTTAAGCATATTATGTATAGTTTGTAACAGAGAAAGAAAAAAAAAAGAAGAAAAAAACATGTATAAATTGTTACGTTGCATATATAATGTCAAGTTTAAAGCCATCGATTCCATATATTGACCTGGAGTATCATGCTGTTGTTATATGATGTACCTGTTACTAAAAGATGATGATGATTGATGTTTTGATTAGTTAAACTATTGTTAAATAAATAATATATTTTCATTGATGTATGATCAAGATATACTTTATTTTAATATCAATTCTTTTTTTTTCTTTTTATACAATTCGTGTAAAAACTAAGTAAAAATATCTTAATTTTATAATTATGAATTATTGATGTTTAAACATCATTAAAAACGTTTATAACCATGTTAAATCTTTATTATTGAAACTCGTGTAATAGACCATTTCAAATTACACTAACATTTCAATGTGACTTCTCGGGGTTTTTTTTACGATTTTTCATAATCGATGTCATTTTACATATTATATAATTTAAAAAATAAATAAAGCTATATAAGTTTATGCATGCACGTTTGCCATAAAGAAAAATGATGAACAATTCTCGAAATGTTTATTTTAGAAATAATGATCACGTACTTTTTTTTTTTCCTTCTCTAATATAATGATAATCTTCAAATGAGAAAGAAACCATATTCAAGTAATTTGATATCCAGATGTATTGTTGTACGTGATTGATCAAAAACAGAATCAAATACGGAAAAATATTTTTTTTTAAAAATTATTCATTTGAGATATAACAAAAAATGATTAGTGACGTCAATTTTTAGATATTCTATCATAATCAATGATGAAAAACTCTTTGGTATATACTTTTTGAGCAATAACCCATCCATATTAAATTGTAACAGTATTATTGGGGAAAAAAAAAACCGATAACTGTTTTGCACTTTTGGAAGAGATTAGAGTAGAACTTGTTTTATTAAATGTTAATTTTCATGTAAACTATATTCTACATTCTCTCTAGGCTATTTAACTCCACATATTTAGTTCATCTTTGTCTAATCAAGGTCATAATCAAATTTTAGGCAATTAATTCCTTATTGTATCGCTTTTTTTTCTCTTTCGAACGGATTGTTCAATGTATCAATCTCTTTCATGTATAAACAAATAACCTTTAAACACAGTAAGAAAACTCTTTAAGCTTTGACATTTGTCTACAAATCGATATCATCTGTTCTCTCTTGATAGATAGATATACTATTATCAATCAATATATAACTAACTCTGGTTGGAGCTGATAATTATTCTCTTATTTTGAACAAAAAAATACTATATACAGCTATAAGTCTATTATGTTTATCTTCCTTTATGAAAATCGATCAATTTTTTTTCAGAATATTCCTACTTTTACACTAAAACACCATGATCTTCTTTCCCGAGTTGAATGACCATACACAATATCGGTTGTTTTAATATAAATCAAAACATAGTGATAGTAATTTTTGACTAGAATACATTTTTTACTTAACATGTTAGCAATTGTGTCAACAAGTGATTCTTCTAGAAGAACATTTTCTAAAGATGACTGTTATTTATGATACATCCGTTATACAGCATTACTGTTTTTGAAATAATTGTATACATATTAAATAGTATAAAAGTCGAGTGTCAATGAATAATCGATGAATGTTTAGATTAGATTAGTGTTATTAGATGAAATTAGTGTACAATAGTTTTCTGCGTTGATTAGGATCTTCCCAACTACAATGTTTCACTTCTTTAAACTGAGTCCAGAGGTCGACAATTGCTAGAAAAATCTCTTTCCGTTGTTTTCCTCCTTTTTGAATTTGGTCTCAGCCCAGTTGCTCTGTTATTGTTCACTAGAATTCCTTGACAATATTTTGTCTTGAAAATTGAGACATCTGTAAAATTTGTACGAACTTTGAATGCCTTTTACTTTTGTCCTTTCCCATTACCTTTATCTATTTCTGACATGTCGCTAGCGTAAATTAGCCTGTTTTTCTAATTAAAGTATTTTGTTCATGACTTTGCAATCAGATAGAGTAGGGTTTCAATTGAACACAAAATGTTTTTCAGAAAGAATCACTTGTTTATCGAAAACTTTCGGTGATTATATTTGAAGTCTCAAACCTCAGCAGTTTTTGAATGTAGTCAATAAAATCCTCTGTCGATATGTGAAACTTAAATTTTGTTTCATTAATGTTTGAATGTAAACAAATAACAAAAATATTGAAAAGTGAACTAAACCTTTTCCGTCACCATCACTACAAGTTTAACTCTCATTTTCAAGGATCTTCTTTTTGTAATATGAAACAACCTTTCTTTGTCGACCACATAGTTCAAAAATGAAATGAAAAGAATCACTTTGGACATCTTATTATTCATCTTGTTAGATATATGTAGTGACAAAGTCGACACTTCTACGTATCATCGACGCGAGTTCAATTTCAACAGTGTGCACAAAAGAGTGAGGTTGTTATATCCAGCATGACACTCGACAACTGAACAGATTAAAACGAACAGTGATTGAATATACCCACATAAGAGCATGATGTTTAGCCATTCGAAGCTAAGCAGTGGGTTTTGAAATAAATGGTGACGATAAGGAAGTGTAGTGTAAAAAATTTCCGAAGCGTTGAAGCCAAGTTATAACAGAAAATGGCAGTTTTTGCCGCACAAAATTTTTTAAGAGTCAAGTAGATTGACGGATGATCTCGAAAAAAGATTTCTTAGCCACCATTGAACATTAGATGGTTTTCGAGGCTGCAAACAATGATGATTATCACTGTTTTAACTTCGCAACAGGAAATAAAAACCTAACTCGTTAATTAAGCCGTTCTCATTTCAGTAACTGTTGTTCAGTGAAGCTTTTTGTGCTGATTCTCTTTTAGATAATTGTGCACATAAGAATCTGTTGTTCTCTTCCACCTATTTAATCTTATAAATTCAGAGAGACTTTTGATTGTTAAAAACTAAAAGACACCATTTTATTTTACAAATATATTCTTGTAAAAGTATCAGTTATTATCTTTCAGTGCGTTTTTTTTTTTGCTACAAGTCAAGCTTTCTGCTATCATGTTTACTTACACAAACACGATTATTCAATTTATATCTCGATCATTTTCGTTCTTTTTTATGTTTAGGTGTGCTCCTGAAAGTTTACGTCGTCAAATATTTTCGTCAGCATCGGACGCGTGGATGTACGCCGTAACTATTTGGGAATTATTTTCTTTCGGCGAAGAGCCATGGTTTGGGCTGAAAGTCAACGAAGTAAGTTAACTAGTTTACTATTCTCTTTGCATAGCTCTAAAATATATGTTTTTATAATTCAAGATACTTGATATAATTGAAAATCAACATGGTTCTTTAACAAAGCCTCACTGTTGTCCACAGAGTGTCTATGATATTATGAAACAATGTTGGAACTTACGACCGGAAGAAAGACCATCATTCAAAATAATTTCACAAAAAATGAAACAGGTAGCAGAAAGTGAATGTATTTATCTTTAGCGATGTTTATTTTCGTTTCTTGCGGCCTAACACATGTTTTTTCAGTTTTCTTATGCGTGAATAGACGAATTTAGGTCGTTTTTCAAGACAAATTAATAAAAGAGCTTGAAGAAATATAAGAATTAAGCTCGATGCTAAAAAAACGAAAAATAAGTTCGATCATTTTAATGGCGTTATGAGATACGACAATGTTTTGACTTGCATACAATAGGAGCTCACAGCGATTGATTATAGTGAGTGAGAAAGAACGTTCTTTCATTTTATCTGTTGTATTGGAAAACGACAATGATATAGCCGTATATGTGTCTTACCTAACTACAGAAAAATGTAGGAAAGAATCCTAATCACCTTGGATCCATCTCTATACAAACAAAATCACAGTAGTACTGCATGTCTGGAGTCCACCAATCTGCTAAATTCAACCAGTTCAAATAGTTACTATACAAATTCCAAACTGAGTTGGACTACAAGTGGATTCATGCTGCAGTACTTTATTTTCGAATCTGATACTGGTATAGAGCAACTCCTAAATGTTTAATCTCTTGCTTATTAATTCTCTGTACTCATTAATGGAATCTCACTTTAACAGTTTGATTAATATGTAAAGCAAATGGTTGATTAATATTCGCAAATTAAAATGAAATTTTCATCTCAACAAGTAGATATTTTATTTTGTTTCTTATAAACATCATATCACTTTTGTTCGTAGAGAAAAAATTTCTTATCACGTATGGCAACACATTTTTAACACAGAATTGAATTAGAATGTAGAACAAAATAAAATAATTTAAACACTGATATAGTCATTGATCTTTTTTAACATTTTCGCTGTATGAGATAGTTATATAATGGTATGTCAATTCCTCCCTTAGCAAGTTAAAACATTGTCCTACCTAATAACACTACTAACATGACTGACTGACTAAGTCATTCGATTTTGGGTCCGTTTTTGACTCTCTTTATGAAGTCTATAAAGTAACAAAGCTAAATAAAGATTCACTGCTTTTTCTAGTGTCGTCCATTAATATCGAAAGCTTGTAAAGACCACAAACAACCGGATCATTTGGGTTTCGTTGCTGGTGACACAATTAGTGTTATTGATGGAAGGTATGGCATATTCATTGCTGTTTTACTAATTAAACACTCACTAAAATTTTATTGTTTAGCGTTTCATCGTTATTATGGCGCGGTCAAAACCATCGTACAATGTTAGTTGGTTTATTTCCCCGTTTACTCGTGGATTTACATCGATCAAAGGGTTCGGAAGACATTAGTTGGCCAATAACGGGCAGTTTTTTCCATACAGGACACAGTGATGCTCGAGGTGGAAAAAGTTGGGGAACTATTGACAAAATTGATGAGTAGGTTATTTGTCTGTGTAAACAAACACTCACAGAATGGTCTTTGTTTATCTGTGATTTTTCAGAACGATATTGAAGAATCCAATTATAACGCCAGTTGATGATATGAAGCAAAACCGTGATCGTGTAGAAAGTAAGTATACGCATTGATAGACCGTATAAACTAGCTTTTACCAAACCTTAAAACATCTTTTAATAACAACAGATAGTTAACATTCAATGATAGATAAAAGCCATGTTTCACAAAAATTCCTAAAAGAATAATATGTTTGCATTATTTTGTTTTAGTTGTATCCGATGTTCTTAGTGTTAATAATCACATTGTAAAACAAATCAAACCTCCTTCATCTGATCCAATAAAACATAAAGTAACCCGACCACCACCAGCCATTCCAAAACAATTACCAGTACAGCAACAACAACAACAACAACTACAACATTCTTTGTTGATCGATTTTGATATAGACGCAAATCATCAAAGTCCATCTAATCAACAAACATCGTCATTAATTGACATTAGGAATGATGCTGATGCTTCTCCAAAACAACCTGATCCAATTCAGTGGATGATACCTTTACCAGAGCTCATTACAAACAGAAACATACCGCCATTAGGTACGCATAACCTAACAAGTTTTTACATTAATGCTAATCGTGCAATAGACATACGCATGTATTACAGGCAAAACTAGAAATTGTCTAGGTAAATTTGAGATTCAACCAAGCAACCTTAAAGTTATCCAATAAAAACATGGATTTATCGATATCGTTTATAGGTATTTCTTGAATTCACTAAGATTTCAAATCTGCATAGGGAAACTCTTAATAAAACATGGGTTTCAGATAGTCATTTTGGGACTGAAAAACACAAGATACATTAGCAACATCCTGAAAGCGAGCCAGAAAAGCAGAATACAATAGAAATATCAGTATGATAGATATTGTAACAGCAACTAATCTGCATTTCATTTTAATTTATTCAATTTATAATATTTGTTTCACGACAAGAGAAATTGTCATTTTCAGAAAAAATGAAAATTGTATCATAATTGTAGAATCGTATTAATTAAATTCTCTATTTATGTAAAATATCTCTTCATACAATTTTTATTTTTCTTGAAAAATTTAGCTTCAGTTTATCTCCCTTTTGAATTAAATAGATATGTACCTATGTAATTTTGCATTGTGAATATTTTCTGTTTCTGTGGTTCTGTAGTTAAGAGTAGTATAAGATATTGTCT